TTGAAAATTGCTAGCCTACCTGAGTTCAATTATTCTTCAGGCTCTATTCCCTGGGCTGCTTTATATACAGTTATTGAGGCTCACCTGCTATATGAAATTCCGCTACCTGTCCGTAGGCATCATTACATGCCTGGTCACCCAACAGTGGCTATAGATTATAGCACTCCATTCTCCTTCATTCTATACTATCTCAGGGAAGGACAACTTTAAGATTACAAAAATAACACATTTGGGGGAATTATGAGAGTGGGCACTTTAGAAATTGAGTTTCTGACTTTCAGCCAAGATGGAGGCCTAGGTAGACCCACTGTGCCTCCTCATACAACCAAAAGAAGGACAACAACAAATTAAAAAAGCAAAACAGAACTGCCAGAAAATTGAATTGTATGGCAGTCTAACAACCAAGGAATTGAAGAAGAAACATTCATTCACACTGGTAGGAGGGGTGGAGACAGGCAGCCAGGGGTGGAGAGGACTCATGGAAAGGTGGCAGCTAGAGGACCAGGGTGGGCAAGTTGGTGGCTGGTGGAGCAGGTGGTCCCACACTTGTGTGTGGATAAACCAGGAGAAACAACTGGGGAGTGGGACAGACCATGCAACCCATGGTTCCAGTGCAGGGAAATAAAGCCTCAAAACTTCTGACTAAAAATACCTGTGGGAGTTGAGGCAGCAGGAGAAACTCTCAGCCTCACAGGAGAGTTCACTGGAGAGACCCCACAGGGTCTTAGAATGTACACAAAAACACCCTCCCGAGAATCAGCACCAGAAAAGCCTAATTTGCCTGTGGGTAGTGGGGGAAGTGTTTGAAAGCTGGCAGAGAGCTGAACGAGCTGAACAAGCTTCATTGTTCCCTCTTGGACCCCTCCCACACATACAGCACCACGATAGACCAAAGTGGGTTGCCCCACCCTGGCAAATACCTAAGGCTCTGCCCCTTACTACGTAACAGGCTCTCCCAAACCACCCCCCAAACAAAAGCCCCGAATGAAAGAACAGGTCAAAGGTCCAAAAAAAATACAACTAAGCAATGAAGAGATAGCCAACCTACCATGTGCACAGTTCAAAACACTGGTAATCAGGATGCTCACAGAAATGGTTGAGTATGGTCAGTGAAGGCTATGCAAAGTAAAATAAAGGAAAATGTACAGGGAACCAACAGTGAAGAGAAGGAAACCAAGACTCAAATCAACAGTTTGGAGAAAGAAGAAATAAACATTCAACTGGCACAGAATGAAGAAACAAGAATTTGAAAAATCAGGAGATGCTTAGAAACCTCCAGGACAATTTTAAACATTCCAATATCTGAATCATAGGTGTGCCAGAAGAAGAGGAAGAGAAAGAGATTTAAAACTTTTTTGAAAATATAATGAAGGAGAACTTCCCCAATCTGGCAAAGGAAATAGACTTCCAGGATGTCCAGGAAGCTCAGAGAGTCCCAAAGAAGTTGGACCCAAGAAGGAACACACCAAGGCACATCATAATTACATTAGCTAAGATAAAAATGAAGGAAAGAATCCTAGAAGCAGAAAGAGATAAGGAGACAGTTACTGACAAAGGAGTTCCCATCAGACTGGCAGACTTCTCAAAAGAGACCTTACAGGCAAGAAGGGGCTGGAAAATAGTATTCAAAGTCACGAATGAGTAGTCACGAATGAGTAGCATAAATGGCAGGTAGAAAATAGACAGGGGGAGGTTAAGAATGGTATAGGAAAGGTAGAAGCCAGAGAACTTTTATGTATGACCCATGGATGTGAACTAAGGGCGGGGAATGCAGGTGAGAGGAGTTATGCAGGGCTGAAAAGAATAAAGGGGAGAAAAAATAGGACAAGTCTAATAGAATAATCAATAAAATATATTAAAAATAAAAATATGCCAGGAAAAAAAGAAATTGAGTTTCTTTGGCTTCACAATGGAGGCTACTTCTACTTCATATTTTAATACACATAAAACATAACAGTTCCCATCTTAACACTTTAATTTGCACATTCAATTTTTTTAATTATTGGGAACTGGAGAGTAGTCCATGCAATTTTGTCAGTACACCTGCATTTAACAAGGAAATGGCAGTGCATAAGGCCTTTCCAATCATATGTGTACCTGGGTTCCAGAGACACCTGACACCTCTTTTATCAGGATAAACTCCAGGAGTGTGGAGTACAAAAGGCAGGGAAAATTTCTTCAAGGACATTTACTGAATACCCACTTTTTAAGATGCTAGGGCAGCAGAGAGGAAACACACAAAACCTATTTGATCACATGGAGCTCATAGCCTCATACTCCTGTCCCTCCCCCAACACAGAAAAAGAGAGTAGAATCAAAAGTTTTCACAAGTTATCTCCTCCTTCATCACTTAAAAAAAAGAAAGAAGACTTCCAGCCAAGATGGAAGCATAGGTAGACACACTGTGCCTGCTCACACAACCAAAATTAAGGACAACAAAAATTTATAATCAAAAAACTAACCAGAACTGACAGAAAATTAAACTGTACGGAAGTTTGACAACCATTCATCCAGATTAGTATGAGGGGTGGAGTTGGCAGCCCGTGAAGAGGGGTGGTGGCAGGAAAAAGTGGTGGCTGGCAGACCCCGGGCACAGGGTGGCAATGAGCAAACCCAATGAGGCACACAAGGTGGCTGGCTGACTACAGTCACACATTTGAGCACAGATAAACTAGGCAAAAATGGGGAACGAGACAGACTGTACAACCCAGGGTTCCAGAGCCGGGAAATAAAGCCTAAAAACACCGATTGAAAACACTTGTGGGGGTTGAGGTGCTGGGAGAGACTCCCAGCCTCACAGGAGAGTTCGTTGGAGAGACCCACAGGGTCCTAGAATGAACACAAGCCCACCTACCTGGGAACCAGCACCAGAAGGGCCAAATTTGCTTGGGGAAAGTGATAGAAGGAACTGAAATATGAGAGTGGAGCAAGTGCCATTATTCCCTTTCTGACCCCACCCCCACATACAGCATCACAACCCAGTGACTGGCTTGCCCTGCACTGGTGAACACCTAAGGCTCCACCCCTTATACGTAACAGGCCCAATCAGACCAAAAAGAAAAAAAGAAGGGCTCAAACGGAACAACAGATCAAAGCCCCAGAGCCCATACATCTAAGTGACCAAGAGCTAGCCAACCTATCAAATGCACAGTTCAAAGCACTGGTGATCAGGATGCTCACAGAATTGGTTGATTGTGGTCACAAATTAGATGAACAAATGAAGGCTACACTAAGTGAAATGAAGGAAAATGCACAGGGAACCAATAATGATGGGAAGAAAACTGGGACTCAAATCAATGGAGTGGACCAGAAGGAAGAAAGAAACAACCAAACAGAAAAGAAGGAAGACACAAGAATTGAAATAAATGAGGAGAGGTTTAGAAACCTCCAGGACATCTTTAAACATTCCAACATCCGAATTATAAGGGTACCAGAAGGGCAAGAGAAAGAGCAACAAGTGGAAAACTTATTTGAACAAATGAAGGAGAACTTCCCCACTCTGGCAAAGGAAATAGACTTCCAGGAAGTCCAGGAAGCTCTGAGAGTCTCAAAGAAGTTGGACCCAAGGAGGAACACACCAAGGCACATCATCATTAAGTTCCCCAAGATTAAAGACACGGAGAAAATCCTAAGAGTAGCAAGAGATAAGGAGATAGTTACCTACAAAGGAGTTCTCATAAGGCTATCAGCTGATTTCTCAAAAGAAACCTTACAGGCAAGAAGGGGCTGGAAAGAAGTTTTCCCAGTCATAAAAGGCAAGGACCTGCATCTAAGATTACTCTACCCAGCAAAGCTATCATTCAGAATGGAAGGGCAGGTAAAGCGGTTCCCAGATAAGGTCAAGTTAAAGGAGTTCATCATCACCAAGCCCTTATTATATGAAATGTTAAAGTGACTTACCTAAGAAAAAGAAGATAAAAAATATGAACAGTAAAAAGATGGCAAACTCACAGTTATTAACAACCACATAAACTAAGCAAACAACTAGAACAGGAACAGAATCACAGAAATGGAGATCATATGGAGGGTTAGCAACAGGGGAGTGGGAGGAGGAGAGAGGGGGAAAAGATACAGAGAATAAGTAGCATAGACAATAGGTAGAAAATAGAGAGGGGGACCAATCTTCCGCACCAATCTTCCTCTGTACCCCTATTTCCGAATCCTCCCACAATCCATTACACCTGCCAGTATTTCTGTATTATTACAAGTTTACAGGGCTGCCATCATTACTCTGGGCAGTTATCATCCCATGTCCTAAAGCCAATCTTCTTCAAGCCCCCAAGCAGGTGCTGTAACTTGGGAGACCTGCCCCCCAGTTACATCTTGGAGGGGGAGTGACTTCATCCCCCTGGCTCCAAGCCTGGCCACAGCCATTTAACATATCCAAGTGACCCACCAAAGGCTATAGATATGTTAAATAACCACGCCATAGATTAGCCTCAAGGCTATGGCTGTACAAAACAGCCCTGCATGTTCCTGCTCCATGTGTCACTTCCCCCAACTCACACCTGTGAGGGAACAGGTGAGGACATCTTATATGTGTCACCAATAACTCCTATACACCTTGAGTTCTGGACACCATTCCAAACCTTTTTAGGCCCCCCCCCCTCTTGGCTGCACCCTGTAACCCCTTGATACATCCCGATCCTGAGCTAGCAGCAGGCCTGAATTCGGAATTCCCAAGCTCATCCGCACTGGAACTCTGACCCAGGAGAGAGGGATCTTCTTAAGTCCAGGTGAGGGAGAACAAAACCCACTTTAGTTATGCGAGCGAGAAACAGAGAGGGAAACCAGAATGCAAAATTTCCCAAGACACGGGACTAGTCCCTTTAACAAAGCACCCTGAAGGAATATGCAGAGCCCCAGCGCAAAGATTCCACAAAGAAGGACAGCCCCCAAAGTGGAACTGGAGTTCTCAGGTGCCCCCGACCCAGCACAATCTGGCCTCTCCCGCGCAGACGCAGTCGCGCCTAGTTCCGGTCTTAGCACGCATGCTCCACAGGGCAAAGGCCCTCCCAGCACCGGCGGTGGCGGTTGCTGCAGTTGAGGCGGCGGCGGCGGAGGAAGTTCCAGCTTTGCACTTCACCCCGGTAGCAGCTTCGCAGCCGAATAGCTTCCTCCCGGCCCTCCACTGGCTTCGGTGCTGCCCACACGTCTGTCCAGCCAGGTCATGGGGTTACCGAAGGGGCCGGAGAGCCAGGATGTCCCAGAGGTAAGGAACCCCCCTCTTCCTGACGCGTCAGGCTCCTGAGAGAGGGCTGAGCAAGCCAGGTGGCGGGCATAGAGGGCTTCGACTTCATTTGGGGCACCCCGCCCCCTTCCTCAGGTGTGTGCAGAGGCGGGGTCGGCTGGGCCTGAGCAAGTCCTCCAGCATGGGCAGAGATTAACTTGAGCAGTCCCGGGTCTGCTAGGACTGAGGTGGCCTTCCCTGCCCAATAACTGCCCCAGCGCAGCCCTAGGTGCCGCGGGACTCAAGGTCCCAGCTCTCTCCTGCTTCGGCCGGAGGGCCGGGGTTGTTACACCAGGAGTCACGAGACTTGCTTTGGGACCGTCTGGGCTAGTGTTGTGCAACCAGCAGCGACCTCGCTCCTGCCGCTGTCTCACTAGACCCGCGGGGTTCTGGCGGCCAGCCCCACCCGCCTTGGTGCCTGGAGGGGACTCCCCACTACAGTAACCCCTGTGCTGGGACCCGGCGGCGTTAGGACGCTCGGGGGCTGTGCCCCGCTGAATCAGCTGTCGCGGTGTCCCGTGGTGCTGCGTGGCAGAGGGACGCAGCACCCGGCAGAAACGTTGTTGCTTATCTGGAAGATAACTGGTACCTTTCCTTCCAGAGGTGTTTATTAGTAAGTACTCGCTTGGTCCTAAAGGACGGGATAATCGGTTGTTTCCGGTTTTCCCCGTTGGCTGAGAATAAAGGTAAAGTGCATTTCCTTCTGGATGCAAGTGTCGCTTAACTAGGTGGTTTACAGCTGCCTTCTCTTGTAGTGGATTCACCCGAAAGCTAGTCTAGTTTTTTACATTCTTGAAAAAAATGGAATCCACGCTGTATCTCTGTCCCTGCCTAAGGTTCTGAAGCAGGTGTTTGACAGGGGATTGATTTCTGGGCGTGATGAGTGGTCCCTTTCCTCTTAGCTGTTTGTGGCCAGTCTTGCTTCTCTGTCTTCCTCCTCCTCAGTTCTTTCATCTCACAAGTACCCGCTAATTGAAAGATCACTGTTCTGTGCATAAAAGCTGGGGTGTAGTGATGGAAGGATAGACTTACCTGTCAGTGTGTATTCTGTCCCCAGAATGTAAGTCCATTTTGTTATCTTAGGAATCCTAACAAGTGTTGGGTTGTCAGAATCTTTGTATTAGGTAAAACCTTACACAAAAGGTGCTTTGATGATGCCGGGAATTGTGAATACTGGGGATCTGTACTGTGATATTTCATTTGACATTTCTTTTTGCCATTTCTTTATTCTAGGCCTTTATGAAGTTTTTTCCCTAGTCTTTTGCTGTAGACTCCTGTCTCCCTGGTTCTACTTTAAATACATTGGATTCAGTGTCTCACTACCAAAGGAGATCTTTCTAAAATAACACGCAACCTGCTTCTGTGTGTCCTATGTTTAACCCTTCTCTTACTGCTAGGAGGCTAGGTCTTACTTGTCACTTTTCCAAGAGCCTAGAATAGTTCTTGCCAATCAGAAGGCAGACAAGGTGATTATATAATCAAGTTATATCATTTAGTTAAAAAACCAGTACATATAGTCTGTGTCATTAAGCTGTTACTAGTCCTATTAATTTGTTAACTTCAGTTTTTTAAACCCTTTATGGTATGCATGTGGAGGATAGAAAGATAGCTCAGGACTTGGCCCTGCTCTCTAGCTTACATGAATATACAGTAGAATGCAATTGAAAATTTAGTGTGCCTGGTTTAGGAGCTCACAGTCATTTATCTTCACCAGAATTTTTTTTTCAACAACTGTATGTATTACCCAGCCTGCTGCTTTTTATGACTTTAAGGAGACATTCCTTCATGCTCTTTTCCATTTTGTTTCAGTGTTAATCTGTGAAACAAATTTGGGGTCTTATTAGCATTATCCATTCAGTCAGTGTCTTGTGCCCAAAATTCTGGGGGTGAATGGTTGAGAAGAATGCATCTTCCATGGGGTGCTCCTTATCATGGTCATCCCATGATAAGCTGTACTCTTCTTGTCCTTCAGAGTAAACGTGAATTCCCATTATCAGTGTCATTACTGTGAAAACATTTTGCTAATACAGGACTGGTGCAGGTCACGCACTTTATGTAATGACTGATTGTGTCATTCTATAGCAAGTGTGTCTTTGAAGCCTAATGCTGTTTCAGAACAGAGGGGTGAACATGGGTGAATAATGTATGGGTCCTTTCCTGAACCAGGTAATAGAATAGTCTACTCAGAACAACAGGCATGCCACTCAAAGGAGGTTCTTACTTAATTGTGTGAATGGCATGGATTATAAATAAAATAGAAATGCAGAGAAATGACCATTTCAGGCTCTATTTGTAGGGTTTGACTTCAAATGGGAGCTAGAATTCGAAGATAATTTCTGGATGATCAGGGAATGTTAGGAGGAGGAGACTGGTGTGAACACTGGTTATCTGTGTTGGCCATAGCCGTGTCTGGATTGTTTTGGGGGGAGGTGAAGGATGAAGCTGAAAAGATAGCTTGCAACCGAAGATCTGGATGACAGACTAAGACATTTGGAGTTTATCTTATAGATAGTGTCTATAAGTGATGTAGTAATAATGAAAGCCAGGGGATGAGCTAAAAAGATAATGATGTGAAAGCTGTGATTCAGAAACAAATGAGCAAGACAAATTAACAAAGAAGAAAGATTGAGAGGCAGTTGCAATAGTCCTGGCATGAAGTGTAAATAAAAGAGAAGGGAGGATTAATGTGAGGTGCATAATAAAGGAAGATTTTAAAGTCGTTGTTGAGTAAGGGAGTAGTCAGAAGTGGGTACAAGGATTTGAACTAGGATACTTTGGTGCTGGTTTATATAGATAAATTTTTTTTTCTTTAATTTTCTGCAGCGATGCAAGAGAGGAAAGGCACAGCTCATGAATGTGAATGGAAACAAAAGTACTAGAAAGTTTAGATATATTTGACTTGTAAAGAAACACCTGCAAGTAAAGGTAGAATATTAAAATTGTTAAATCAAATCTCTATATATATTACATAAATTTATTATTTTAAATTATATTTTATTGATTATGCTATTACAGTGGTCCTCAATTTTTCTCTCTTTACCTCCCTCCACCCAGAACACCCCACTCTCTCAGGCAACACCCCATTCTCCTACCATTGTTCATGTCCATTGGTTTCATATAAGTTCCCTGGCTACTCTATTTTCTATACTGTACTTTATATGCCCATGGCTATTCTGTAAATATCTATTTTTACTTCTTTAAAAATTTTTTTAAAGTACTTTTTATTGATTATGCTATTACAATTTTCCCAATTTTCCCCCCTTTATACCCCCTCCACCCTGCCCCCTCAACCCTCCAGAATTCCTCTCCCCTCCCCCTGTTGCCACCCGCACTTAGTCCATGTCTATGGGTTTTACATATAAAGTCTTTGAGTCCTCTGTTTCCTATACCATTTTTTATCTTTCCCTGTCTATTTTATGCCTAGTAATTATGCTTCTTCTTCCCTGTACCATTTTCCCCCATTCCTCCCTTCCCCTTCCCCATCCCCACTGAACTCCCTCTGTGTAATGTACATTTCTCTGATTCTGTTCCTGTTCTGGCTGTTTGCTTAGTTTTCATCGTTTTTCTTTTCTTTTAGTTTCATTTGTTGATAGTTATGAGCTTGTTGTCATTTTATTGTTCATATTTTTAATCTTTTTCTTAGATAAGTCCCTTTAACATTTCATATAATAAGGGCTTGGTGATGATGAACTCCTTTAACTTGACTTTATCTGGGAAGCACTTTATTTGCCTTTACATTCTAAATGAAAACTTTGCTGGATAGAGTAATTTTGGATGTAGGTCCTTGCCTTTCATGACTTCAGATACTTCTTTCCAGCCCCTTCTTGCCTGTAAGGTTTCTTTTGAGAAATCAGCTGATAGCCTTATGAGAACTCCTTTGTAGGTAACTATCTCCTTATCTCTTGCTACTCTTAGGATTTTCTCCATGTCTTTAATCTTGGGGAACTTAATGATGATGTGCCTTGGTGTGTTCCTCCTTGGGTCCAACTTCTTTGAGACTCAGAGCTTCCTGGACTTCCTGGAAGTCTATTTTCTTTGCCAGATTGGGAAAGTTTTCCTTCATTATTTGCTCAAATAAGTTTTCCATTTCTTGCTCTTGTTTTCTCCTTCTGGCACCGCTATAATTTAGATATTGGAACATTTCGGGTTGTCCCAGAGAGTCCTCAGCCTCTCTTCATTTTTTCGGAATCTTGTTTTTCATTCTTTCCGGTTAGATGTTTATTTCTTCCTTTTGTTCCAAATCATTGCTTTGAATCCCGGTTTCCTTCTTGTCATTGTTGGTTCCCTGAATATTTTGCTTTATTTCATTTTGGGTGTCTTTCATTTTTCGTCCAAGCGCAATCAGTTCTGTGAGCATTTTGACTACCAGGACTTTAAATTCTCCATCATTTAGGTTGGCAATGTCCTCATCGCTTAGTTCTGAGGTTTTGCTGTGTTCTTCATTTGGGCTATATTTCTTTGTCTTGGAGCACCGGTGTGGTTGTTCTGGTTGAATTTTTCTTTAACTCCTTTGTTGTCGCAGTTCCATGTAGTTTGATTTTCTGGTGCTTCTGGCTGTTTATTGATTTTAGATTGGTTGTTATCCTCCTTTTGGTTATGAGAGGAAGTGAAGGGTCTCTACCTACACCTCCATCTTGGCCGTAACTCCCCCCTATTTTTACTTCTTAATCCCCTCGTCTCTTCACCCATTCTCCCTTACCCCTCTCCCATCTGGCAACCATCAAAATGTTCTCCGTATCCATAATTTTGTCTCTGTTCTTCTTGTTTGCTTAGTTTGTTTTTTAGATTCAATTGTTGATACAGATGTATTTATTGCCATTTTATTGTTTATAGTTTTTATCTTTTTCTTAAATAAATCCCTTTAACATTTCATATAATAAGGGTTTGGTGACAATGAACAACTTTAGTTTTTTCTTGTCTGGGAAGCTCCTTATCTTCTCTTTGATTGTAAATTATAGGTTTGCTGGGTAGAACAATTTTGGCTGTAGGTCCCTGCTTTTCATGACCTTGAATATCTTTAACCTTTGGCATTTTAATTAATTTTTTAAATATATTTTATTGATTATGCCATTACAGTTGTCCTATTTCCCCCCTTCATTCCCCTCCACCCTGCATACCCCTCTCCCACCATTCCCCTCCTTTAGATTATGTCCACCCGTCTCCAGTTCTTTAGATTCTATATTTCCCCTACTATTCTTGCCCTCCCCCCCATCTATTTTCTCCCCATCATCTATGCTGCTTATTCTCTGTACCTTTCCCCATCTCTCCTCCTCCCACTCCCCTGTTGCTAACCCTCCATGTGATCTCCATTTCTGTGGCTCCACTCCTGATCTAGCTGTCCTCTTAGTTTGCTTTTGTTTTAGGTGTGGTTGTTAATAACTGTGAGCTTGCTGTCCTTTACTGCTCATATTTTTTATCTTCTTTTTCTTAGATAAGTCCCTTTAACATTTCATATTATAAGGGCTTGGTGATGATGAACTCCTTGAATTTGACCCTTATCTGAGAAGCACTTTATCTGCCCTTCCATTCTAAATGAGAGCTTTGCTGGATAGATCAATCTTGGATGTAGGTCTTTGGATTTCATGACTTGGAATACTTCTTTCTAGCCCCTTCTTGCCTGGAAGGTCTCTTTTGAGAAATCAGCTGACAGTCTAATGGAAACTCCTTTGTAGGTGGCTGTCCCCTTATCTCTTGCTGCTTCTAGGATTCTCTCCTTCATTTTCATCTTAGCTAATGTAATGATGATGTGCCTTGGTGTGTTTCTTCTTGGGTTCAACTTCTTTGGGACTCTCTGAGCTTCCTGGATTTCCTGGAAGTCTATTTCCTTTGCCAGATTGGGGAAGTTTTCCTTTATTATTTGTTCAAATAAGTTTTCCACTGGTGGCTGTTCCTCTTCCCCTTCTGGTACTCCTATAATTTGGATGTTGGAACGTTTAAAGATGTCCTGAAGGTTCTAAGCCTCTCCTCATTTTTTTGAATTCTTGTTTCTTCATCCTTTTCTGTTTGGTCATTTTTTTCTTCCTTTTGGTCCACTCCCTTGATTTGAGTCCTAGTTTCCGTTCCATCACTCTTGGTTTCCTGTGCATTTCCCTTCATTTCAATTAGTTTAGCCTTCATATGTTCCTCTAATTTGTGACTAAAATCAACCAGTTTTGTGAGCATCCTTATCACCAGTGTTTTGAACTGTGCATCTGATAGGTTGTCTATCTCTTGGTTGCTTAGAAGTATTGGCTCTAGAGCTTTGAGATCTTCTTGAGCCATAAGGATTTGGTTTGTTTGCACAAGTTATGTATGGGAGGGCAGAGCCCTAGGTGAACACCAGGGTGGGGCAACTGAGTCGCTGGGTTGTGGGGGCGGGGTCAAAGAGCGGCAATGGTGGTCCCCTCTGCTGCTTCCTGCCTCTGGGGCCTGCGCAGTCCTCATTGCTCGCTCCTTCACCTGGTTTATCTGTGCACAAATGTGTGACTGCGGTCAGCCTGCTGCCTCTCGCCCTGACTGGGTCTGACCGTCGCCACCCCACACCTGGGATCTTCCAACCGCCACCCGCGCCCCTGGGTCGGTCTGGCCAAGTTTTTCTGTGCAATCTGCTCTGCCAATTGCTGGTTCCGCCCTTCTTACCAGTCTGGCTGAATGGTTCATTGTTGTCGGACTTCCATATAGTTCAATTTTCTGTGTTTTGGCTGCGCTTTTGTTACTAAAACTTTGTTGTCTTTAAACTTGGTTGTGCAAGGAGGCACAGTGTTTCCACCTACGCCTCCATCTTGGCTGGAAGTCAGTGGCATTTTAATTATGATGTATCTTGTAGTGGGCCTCTTTGCTTCCATCTTATTTTGGGACTCTGTGCTTCCTGGACTTGAATGTCTATTTCCTTTACCAAGTTAGGGAAGTTTTGTTTCACTATTTTTTCAAATAAACTTTCAATTTCTTGCTCTTTTTCTTCTCCTTCTGGTGCCCATACACCCATATGATATGACTGTTGGACCTCTTGAAGTTGCCCCAGGGGCTGCTTATACATCCTCATTTTTTTAAATTCATTTTTCTTTTTATTTTTCTGGTTTGTTTTTGCTTTCTTATATTTCAAATCATTGATTTGATTCTCAGCTTCATTTATTCTACTGTTGTTTCCCTGCAAATTGTTCTTTATTTCAATTAGTGTATCCTTACACTTTGGGAAGTCCAAATTTATTATTTTTAAGGCAGTTCTGTTATATGGCAATAAGGTCCTTTAATATCTCTGGGTTGAAAGCCTTTATATTTGTGTTAAAGATCAGAAAGAGTAGTGTAGAGAGGCATATGTATGTGAATTAATTTTTCTTACACCTTTTAAAAATAATTTGGACCAAAATGAGTATGCCTCTGAAGTTAAAAATGAAAAATAAAAATCACCTTGTTCCTGTCTGTAAGGAATTTATCAACTAGTTGAGAGTCTATCGAGTAAACTGTGTGTTAGAGAACAGGGAGATAATGTGCCTTAATCTTCCTTTCTCTGGATTTCTTTAGCACCTGGTGAATAGGCTGCGCTGCCTGTGTCTTCTCCCCCCACCAATGATGATTAATAGCTTGTTGAAGACTAGGGACTTTCTTCTGTGAAACTGGCAGCACTGTGTCCCCATGTTCCTTTATGACTACAGTGATACGGCCACTGTCACTTGGCAGTATTGGGCATTGGGAGATACACCTGGTGTTCCTTTATTCAAGGTAGCATTTACCAGTCCTTTACATTTTGTTTTAGGTAGAAACAAGAGAAGATGAAGAACAAAATGTCAAATTGACTGAAATTCTGGAGCTCTTGGTTGCAGCTGGGTATTTCAGGGCAAGAATTAAAGGCTTGTCACCTTTTGATAAGGTAAGAGGAAATGTTTCTAAACCATTACACTTTTTTTTTTTTGGTCAGGATGGCACTGTGGAAGGGAGAAAAGATTGTGTTTTTACTTTCTCCATGTTCATGTTTTCCTTTCTGCCTAATTCGGGTTCATTATGGAAATGTTCAAATTTCTTATTAAAATAATAATATATCAATAGATACACTTTGAATTCCTTTTCTATGCATGAAGCTTTGGGAAATGCAAATGAGCCATTGAAAGTACTCATTTTGAGGAACTTAAATTTGGGGCAGGAAGATAAAACTTATGTAAAATAAAATAATCTGAGTTAATGAGCTATCCCAAGTCAGTCTGCTTACAGACAATTACCAGATTTTCTTTGGATGAATGGTAAATGCTTCATTTGGAGGAGGGAGAAGTCACTGTGGGGTGAAGTTTAATTTGGCAGAACCTGAAACAATTATTATGCACAAGGCTTAGTAATAGGTGTTGAGGGCAGAGATAAGACAGATACCCTGTAATCAAAGGGTCCGACCTCTATAGCATAGAGAAGAGAGACAGAAAAAGCAACATGCATAGAATAAATAATATGATGCAGTAAATACTACTGCAATGAACTATACACAGCAATGAAGCAGGCTGGTCAGACAGGGCAGGCGAGAAAGCTTCTTGGTAGAAGAAAGTGCTGAGTGCTCCAGTGGGCCACAGCCCTGGCTGCCTGTAACAGAATCACTGTGGATTGTTTTAGATACAGATGTCTAGGCCTCACCATTGAAATTCTGGTCAACTAGATCTGGACTGGGACCTGGAATGCATATGTTATTAGGCATCTTACACTTCATAGCACAGCTAGAAGTAAGATCCACTGTTTTGGGGGGTTTTTTACATCAAGTTGTGTTCAAAAAGGATTTTGTTTAAAGTGGATTTTTAGTCTTAGTGTCATTTGCATCTCAGAGAAACCCTGTGAAAAAAGTAGAGCAGGCATTCACATTTCCTTTTGGTAGGTGAAAAAAAAAAGATGTATGGAAATTAAGTAATGAGCCACAAAATCTGTTTTGCTACTAATTTGTCTGGTCCATAAAACACATGGAATCTGGCACTTGCCTGAAACTGGGTAGTTAAGGCTTCTCTGACCTGAGCATTAATGTCTGTCTCCTTCAGTATAAAGAAAGTGAAGTGTGATATGTCCATGTAGTAATAAAAATCAGTTTCTTAGTCATATTAGCCACATTTCAGGGGCTCAGTAACTACATGTGGCTAGTAGCTGCTCTGTTGGACAGCGAAGTTACAGAACTTTTCCATCACTGGAGAAAGTTTTATTCAACAGTGCTATTTTAGATGAATTGTAGTTGATAGAGTCAGAACATATATACCCTCTCTAACAATAGAAAATTGTGTATATTCATTGAGACTGTAAAAAATATTTTTATTTTAACTAGTTTTCTCTTCTTTCCCTCTCTCCAAGCTAGGAAGAGAAAACATATTTTCTTTGTCTTGCAGGTGGTAGGAGGAATGACATGGTGCATTACCACTTGCAACTTTGACGTAGATGTTGATTTGCTCTTTCAAGAAAACTCTACAATAGGTCAAAAAATGTAAGTTGTTAGGGTTTGCCTAAAGGGGAAAAAAGAGTAACTTTTGAGTGTACCAGAGGTTGTGCTAGACATTTTTACATATTGTATTTTAATTTTCACTATAACAGGTATTTCACAGTTTTATAGATTACAAATCTGAGGCTGAAAGAAGCCATGGTCACACAGGTAGCATGTAAGAGTCATTTCAATATTTAGGCTCTTTCTAACACTTTTTAAAAATTTTTTTTTTCAGTTTTTCTGAGATGTAATTAATATATAATGTCATATTAGTTTAAGGTATACAACATAATGATTTGATATATATATATATATGTGTGTATATATATATATATATTTACCACAGTAAGTTTAGTAAACATCTATCCTCTCACATAGATATACATTTTTTCCTTATGATGAGAACTTTTAACATCTATTCTCTTAGCAACTTTCAGATATAGATGTAGTATTGATAAAAATAGTCAGCATGCTATACATTAAATCTCCAGAACTTTTTTATCTTATAATGGAACTTTGTACCTTTTGACCACCTTTGCCCATTTTGTCCACTCCCACCTCTGTCAACCACCAATCTGTTCTCTGTTTCTGTGAGTTCGGTTAAGTGAGACCATACATATTATTCATCTTTCTCTGTCTGACTTCTTTCATTTAGCAATGTCCTCAAGGTCTATCCATGTTGTCGCAAATAGCAGGATTTCCCTCTTTTTTATAGATTAATAATATTCCATGGTATATACACTACATTTTCTTCTTCATTTGTCTGTTGATGAACACTTAGGTTGTTCCCATGTCTTGGCCACTGTAAACAATGCAGTGAATATGGGAGTGCAGATAACTCTTTAAGATAGTGTTTTTGGTTCCTTCTAATATATACCCAGAAGTGGAATTTCTGGATCATGTGGTAGATATACTTTTAATTTTTTGAGGAACCTCCATGTTCGTTTCCACTGTAGCTAGACCAATTTATAGTCCCTCCAACAGTACACAAGAAAAGAAAAAGGGTTTCTTTTCTCTAGTGCTTGTTACCTGTTGTCTTCTGGATGACACCCATTCAAACAGGTGTGAGGTAATAGCTCATTGTAGTTTTGATTTACTGTACATTTCCCTGATGAGTAGTGCTGTCCAACAACTCAAATACTTTTTCTTGCCCTGGCTTGTATAGCTCAGTGAATTGAGCGCGGGCCTGCAAACTAAGGGGTTGCGGTTTGATTCCCAGTTAGGGCACATGCCTGGGTTGCAGGCCAGTTCCCAGCGGGGGACTCACAAGAGGCAACCATACATTGATATTTCTCTCCCTCTCTCCTTCCCTTCCCCTCTAAAGAGAAATGAATAAAATCTTTAAAAAATTTTGTTTAAAGGAAGGGAAGTTAAGGGGAAAAAGGGGGAGGTATTTGGAGGAACAAATAGGAAGGACACAGGGACGAGAACTAAGGGGGGTGGAAATGGGAGGAAGGTGGGGAGCAAGGGGTGGGGGAGGCTGGGATGGGAGAAATAGACAAAAAACTGTACTCGAAAAATAACTAAATAAAATTAATTTAAAAAAGGTTTTTTTAAATAGTTTTTCTTGATGAAAGTTTCTATAGACTGCTTAGTGTATCTCTTTCTAATGGCAGCTAATTTCAATGGAAGTTGAATAGGGTGAGAAAAAGAGAATCTTTCCCTCCCTGTTGCCTCTGTGAAAGACAGAGCTTTGCTTTGGAGGAGGCATGGGCTCCTTGCTAGAGATTTCACCTGAGGGCCCCCTGTGTGGTCTTCCATAGCTCACCAGGGGCTTGGCGATTTCTTTAGACCTTTTGGCATCCCCAGTTCTGCTCCCAGCCCTGGCGTTGTGTATCTGTGTGAACTTAGGCAAGCCTCAGTTCCCTTATCTATAAGCAGATGGATTTGTGACCTCAGATCTCAATGATTCTGTGACTTACTTTTTTTTTTTTTAAGTCTTATTCTCCCCCAGGGGGGGGAAAAACACTCCCCAATGGATTAAAGATGGTTTACAAATATGTATATGAACCAGTAATAGCTGAAAGTTGAGGCAAAGATAAACGGAAGGGAAAGAGAAAAACAGTGGAGACAAAAGGCAGGGTTGGAGATAAGGCTAACACATTTGCAGTGGGCGACAAAATGCCTTGTTTTCCTAAGGGTAGGCTACAGATTGAGCCCTGACCTTCTGGCAGACAAGAAAAAGAAAAACATAATAAATGACCCAGTTCACAGTTTCTATATAGTAAAAGAAAAATCAGTCCCTCAGAATCATCAAAATTCTTAATACTAAGACCATCTCTCCAGGTCCCTGTTGTTTAACACAGTGACACTATTCTCATCAGTTCCCCGGCCATGGAGAATGGGGCTCTGCACCCGTAACACCTGCTGCTGTGGGACTGTGGCATCATACCCTGCCAGAGCAGTAGTGAAAAGTCCTGCACTGGGAGGCAGTGCAGTGCAGTGCAGGTGTCTGGCTTTGCTCTCTGCTGGTCAGGCTAAATCAAGAGGTAGCTTTTTATTCCTGTCTTTTTGTTTGTTTTTATTGTGTTAAATTCATGAAGTTAAAAAAAATTCAGATACTACCAAAGGGAACAAAATATACAGCTGTCTCCCTCTCCCTCCCCATTCTATACATCAGTTTAATTTCTTGGAAAGAATCATCTTCGACTATTTAGGTTTTAGATTGTTCAGAGTGGTGACTTCTGCATCTCCCAACTATGTATACACTTTGTTTCATCTGTGTCTAATGAGAAGAGGAAATTAGCTCCCCTATACTGCTCAATACATCCATCTTCCATCTTCCAGTCTTTTATTACCTGCTCTTCTATGATCACTTGTATAATTTTAATCTGTTTAATCTTCTATATCTTGGCTTATAAACCTAAGATAGTCTCTTCTGGCTCCTACGTACATAAAGTAAACATTTTAGTATCTTTGTTTTCCCTTTTACCTTTCAGCCTCCATCTACCATTATAACATTACTTTTGTAATCTTTGGGCCATAATATTTAGAGTCTCTTCAATAATAGGAATTAAATTGTCCATGCTTTATCTACAGATAGATTCTAAAAGTAAATCTATAGTGTTTACAGGAAGAACTAAGACTTTTGCTGGGAGCAGAGAAGAGGAAATGTTATCTTTTGGACAATAATGATATTGTTTAAAGTAGAATATTTAAAATATTATAATCAAAAGGAATCTCTTCACTTATTCATTGACTCAGCAAATATTTATTGAGCTCCTACTATGCATCAGGCATGTTCTGGGTACTTTTGATATATTAATGATTTCATGATAGATTGGATATCTGGGTATGAGTTAAGAGGGAAGTCAAAGGTTATTCTGAGGTATTTGGCTGGAGCAAGGTGGCCTGTATGAGTCACTGAAAATCAGGCACATCATATGTATTTTCAGTGGAAGTTGGGAAGCCACAGATGCAGGGGGCTAACTAGTTATATTTGAATTTTCAACTCTGTGGGGTCAGTGCCCCAAACCCCTATGTGGTCAAGGGTCAACTGTAAATCGCTTTATAGCTTTTTTTTTTTTTTTTTAATTTCTAATTGCCTTCTTGTTAACAAAGAAGCACATACATTTGCTTGTAGGAAAGATCAGCCTGCTTCTTAGTCTGTGTACATACTATCATGAATTCACTGTCTTCTCGAGGACACTCTTGATTGAAGCCTCTTTCTGTTAGAGTTTGAGGTGATTGCTTTTTACATTTGTGGCACCATGACATACTAGGATTTCTTTCCATTGCATATTTTTCTGGTTTAGTCTTACCATTTCTTACATTCTACGTATCTTTTCTCCATAACTTCTTTTGATACTTTACAGTGGTCCTTAGTTCTTTTTCACCTTGGTGTTCTTGGGGGTTATGATACATTTCTATCAGTGGTAGTACTGTTAATAGATAGTGTAGTATATTGTTTTTTATATAGGTTCTCAATTTCTTATCCATATTTCTGAACTCTAAAACACTGAAATATTTTTTTTCTTTTTAAGTGTGGGTTTAAAACTCATGGAAGCAAAATATAACCTGAACTAACTTAAAGCTATTTGTTGTCTTTACTGATCCCATTTATGTGAGTATTTGTAAGTTTTGCTGTAGGGTGCTGCTCTAGATTTTACTGGAGTCCTACATAATATATAGTATATGCATGCCTCTTAGGTGCACTAAAGTACAAACATCTGAAAAAGTCTGAATTCTAAACCACATTTGGCCCCAAAAAGTTCGGTTAAGGGATTAAAGATGTGTTATGTTCTCTGGTATGTACTTGATGTGTAGCCTTTAAGTTTATAGCTATGAACAGTAATTGTGGGCAAAGCTGGGGACAGGAATTTGCATAACTTCAAGTTATCTGTCAGACTCCTAGCAGTTCTTCAGGAAATTGGGTCTTTATTATCTGTAGGAGAATTGACATAGCCACAGGGCACTGAATTATCCAAAAGTCTTCTCTGTTTGGTTTTGGAATATGTGTTTTGTTTGGGAGTTGCTCCTTACAAAATTTCTAGTTAGGTGCAATTTAGCCTAATACTACCTGTTTACAGTGCCTCACCATATCCCAGCTGATGTTATGGGTGGCCAGGTAGCACAGTCCGAGGAGTGCACTCATCTACTGAGGGTATGATTATCTTTCAGGCTCTTTTCTGCGTGCCAACTACGGCCTTATTCCCCTTGATCCTTCTTTCTTGAGGGTTCCATGAGCTCCTGCCCTCCATCCCAGCCTGTCCTAAAGCCCTATTACTACTTATGCTCAGAGATTCATTGATGAGATTTTAGGCTTATAACTGAGTTCATTTTAACAACATTACTAGGCATCTATGTGCAGAGCATCTATGGACATGTTTTTTATTATTTAACCTTTGCAACAACCTTTGAATAGGCAGGACAGGGGTTATCCTTCATTTTATGATAGGAGTATTAGACCAGAGCTGTCCGTGTGACTTGCCAAAAATCCCAGAGTAGGTGAAAGAACTGGAATTTAGATCCAGGTTTAATTCACCCTCTTTTAGACTGTTTGCAGTGGAGGAGGAAACAGTGCACTGAACACTTTTAAAAGCTAAAGAATCAAACTAATTCCATGTAGTGACATGTGGGCATCATAAAATCTTAGACTGGGAAACCTGCCTGGTGTCTCTGCAGTTGTCATTTTCCCTTAGTTTTAGAAAGTCAGAGGATTCACCCTGAGCTCCAGGGAGAAGCCAGATGGCATTGGTGGGTTTCTCTAAGAAATCCTTGCTTTTGTCCCCTGGAAGTGTTAGTGCCTCAGGTGCTTCCATATGCTGCCAACAAGGAGGTGGGTTTAAGAGGGTTGTAAACCCTGAGCTGACCTATAGCATCCTCCCTCAGGGCCTTTATGAACTGAGTGAACAGGCTGTCTTTAAGGACTGGCCAAGGAGAACCTTGTCTAAAGGTGGAGGGTTGTGATGGTTGTTGGGGGTTCCAGCTTCTTTTTTAAGCCACTGAATGATTATAGGCAGTCATTACCCTGTGCAAAACCATAGACCTATAGCCACTAGAGGGAGCTTTCCTCCTACTGAACTAAAATATAGCGGAGAAGAAAGGTGGCCCCCCTCTACCATAAATAGTTAAGACCTGCCTGGAGCAAGGACACAAGGCTTGAAGTTTGGGGAGTAGGGCCAGTTAATCACCCACTTCTTCCCCTCTGAAGTTTGCATAGGAGTCTGGTAAAGATGAAAATAAAAAATAAAACCCATCAGAGAGAAAGAGCACAAGATATTGCCAAATGGGTTTGCTAATACATCCCTACCAGACATCTGATTTGAGCCCCAGGAAGAGCTGGACAACCACAGGCTTCCCTACTGAGGCAGGGCACACATCTCATGGCAGAAAAGATGCATGGACAGGCTACTCAGAAAGGAGGGACTGCAGGAATGGCTGAGAGCCACATGACAGTTTTCTTTCATATCTTGGACCTTTTGGATAAATTGCACATCCTATATGCTTCTCTTCTGAGAAGTAGATATTCCTATCTTAAGTGAATGTGTGTAGTAGGGTATCAGTCGTCCCCTCTCCAAGTTTTTTATTCTTAACATATTAGACTGGACATCGAAACTACAGGTGAGTGGAGCCTGGGATGTGGCTGTTTCCCTCAGCAGTTTTAACCTTGGTCCCACCTTGTATAGCTGGCTACTTTCTGTATATAAATGTTTTCGTAATGTGTTCTCTGGGTACCATTCCCTGGGGAGCCATTGAGCTTTTATCCCTAGATTATTTAGTTCCTACCAAGACTGACAGATGAAACCTACTAAGGGAACATAGATAAGATTATTTCTCTCATCTAGACTGAGTTAGCCATTGGTCTTAAGGGTATGTCTCCTGGGAAGGATTATGGAACTGCAGAAAAATGAAGAGGTACAAGATTTCTTTGAACAAGGACTACTTCTGGTACACCCCAAACTTAATGAATTTTAAGCATGTAATAAGACCTGGTAACCTCATTCACCAGGGCCTTCATTTATTAGCAAATTCTACACTTATAAACAAGGCCACAGTATTTACTGTAACTGGGTAAGATTTTTTTTTAAATAAGGGTCTTATATGAGGATATAATCTAAACTATCCCTGTAGGCTGAGCCAGAAGCTCCCATTTCTCCCCTTGTAACTTTAACATTCCTGTCTGTGTGCCATGGCTTTGGGGTTTAGCAGAACCATTAAATAATCTTTATTCACTGTAATTGGATTCAATTCAGATATAAGACGTTGGAGATCAAATATCAGCTGATAAGAGATAGAGGCTTAAATCTGTGGTAGCATGGACTTGTACACAAGTCCCTCTGTTACTCCTGTCATAAAACTGACCCACCCGGGCCCAGGTTGAGCTGAAAAACTTCTCCAGCAGCAGAGAGGGGCTTACTTCCTGAGACAGAAGAATGCTTTGGGACCTCAGGGAGCCTGATTCCTCCCTTTTTACTCCCAGCCATCTAGGAAGAGGACTGAAGTAAGGTATTGGAGAGAAGTCATTGTCCCTAATGCAAAGCAGAAAATTTCTCTCTGGAAAAAAAGAATGAGGGTACATGGTTCCCCAAAATCTGGTATTTATTCTAGCATATCAAAATTTAAGACTTTTTTTATTTTGAAAATACTTTTTACCAGAGTAGAGAACTCCAATTTTTTCTTGAGCTTGAGGCCTCATATTTTATCTTAATATTCTGGGCACCTGGTACAAAAAATAATTATTTTTTGCCTGACTCATATTTACAACAGTTTTTAAAAGTGTAAGGTAGCAGTTCCAAGGCTTGTGGAAAAAGGAGGGTAGTAAAGTGAAATGTAAACAAATGTGGCACACTCATAACTTTTTATTTTACCATGTAAAGATGTTAAGAAACAAACCTACTACTTCAAACATCACCCTCATTTCATAAAGAAAAACTATATTAAAAAGTAGGAAGCACACAATCTTAAAATAAAGGAAGAAGGCAGTTTTGTGGCCTTAAATGCATGTACAAACACATCTCAGTTGTGCTTTTCTTTTCTAATTTTGCAGTCAGAGAAACTTGGTGATGGTCTGGCATTGAGAAGTGCCAGGTTTTTCTGTGATACTGCCAAGACTTGAGAGATGTCTTATAGGCCACTGAGTGTGTTCTCACTCTTTGCTTGTTGCTTTTTCCAAATAGAGCTCTATCAGAAAAAATTGTCTCAGTTCTTCCAAGGATGAAGTGTCCACACCAACTGGAGCCTCACCAGATCCAGGGGATGGATTTTATTCACATATTTCCTGTTGTTCAGGTGAGACCCTCTGTGTGGCTTCTTGTCCTCTGAACATCAGATTCCTATAATACTCTTGACTCTTGAGCTCTCTGGCCTAGATTCTGAATCTAATGGGTGTGGTATGGATTTGGTGGCAGCAGAACATGACGTGGTTTCCTGATGTCTTCCTCAGAAGGTCGCTGGTATTCCGCCTTCCCTAGTTTCACATCTTCACTCGATCTTTGAATGTCCCCATTAGTTGCTTTTCATTGTCTTTTTGGAAAAGCTAGGACTCTACAGCCAGCATGGTCACCTCTGACCTATCCAGACTCATTCCTTGCTTTTCTTTGTTCTTTCTGTTTTAATCCCTCTGACTCAGATTTTCTCATGGCTATAATGCTTCCTCCTGTCACAGGGCCTTTCCAAAAAGGCTCTTTCCTTTTCTTCTTAACTGCTTAATTCATATTTATTCTTCAGGGCTCAGTTCCACCAAGCCTTCTCAAGAAAGCTTCCCCTGAATCTAGAACAGGTTTTTTTGCTATATCCAGTCACATAGCCTCATTCCCTTTCTTCACAGGAATGTTCCATACTGTAGTTTTTATGATATATATTCAAGCGTGTGGTTATTTATCTGTCTCCATCAGACTGTAAGCCTCATGACGGCAAGTGCCACGGCTGTCTCACTCACTGTTGTGTCTCCAGCACTTTAAAGTGCCTGGCACTTTGTGGTCATTTAGTTCTTATTTGATGGCTGAATGCCTGATGGGAGACTTATCTCCTCCTCAGCTTTTCCCAAAGATTCTGTGATTAAGTGGCTCATGCTGTACAGCTCCTGATATTCTCTGCAGTTCTATTGTGCCTCTCCTTTAGGCACCTTGAAAAGATGAGGAGCAAAGAAAGAGACCTGCCTTCATTGTTTGCGTTGTGAACAGTACTTTGTATATACCGGATTTTTTAGACTGTAAGATGCACTGGAACACAAGATGTACCTAGGTTTTAGAGGAGGAAAATAGGAAAAAATTTTGAAGCAAAAAATGTGGTAAAATATTTGATAACATAAATAACATAGGCCACCGCCCCTCCCCCCCAGCGAGCCAGGTAAGCTACATTCAGGCTATAATTTGCACCTCCATTTTCCTCCCAAATTGGGGGGTGTGTGTCTTATAGTCTGAAAAATGCAGTAATCCTAATAGAGACTTTGAAGAATCTATTATAATCCTCACCTGAACATCTCAGGAAAGTAAGACTCAGAGAATGTAATTGATCTGCTTAAAGGTAGAGTAGAAGAGCAAATGTTCTAGTCTAAACTCTCTATCTCCAAGCCTTGTACTTTCCCACTCCACTATTCATGCAGCCACCTACTAGAAAGCTGCACAGCCCTTGCTAGAAAAGTCTTAGCTCTGTCTCAGGATTATATAGTGTAGGTACATGAACTCTGGAGACTTAAATTCTCATCTGTGAAGTAGAGGTATTATAGTACCTACCTGATAGGATGAAAATTGAGTTACTATGTGTAAAGCACATAGCTGAAGCACTGGTGCATTTAGTAAGTGCTTTATAAGTGTTATATATATTTGTTTTGTTGTTATTACTGTTCCTGGGAAATCCTTCCTACTTTAGACTTCAAATCAAATAGCATGAATTTGTAAATTTGAGGCTAAGACTTTTACTCAAAATTTGATTTGTATCTGTGAGACTTTCTGTCTCTGTGATTCAGGGAAATGGTACCTAATCCTCTTTGTGAAAACAGGAAGTAGGGACCTTCTATTGATTTTTACTGAAACCTCCAACACCATCACTCTTCCAAGCTGTTGCCTTTTCCCCCTGAAAGTCTGGATCTCTAGTGATTAGACCTTATTCCACTGTATCCCAGAACTTGGAGGGCAAAAAAATCTAGTCCAGGTATGAGAGGGGGATTAAAAGGAAATGATCTCTTATAGTTAGTGTAGGCATTTTGAGTGTCTGTGAAATGAACGGTTCTGTTTTGAAAGTAGAATGCTGGAGGGCTTTTCGTCTGGATGTGAGAGCCTAAGCTAGTGGTTATCGGATCTTAATTTCATGGACTTGTTAAGTTTAAAAGCAAAAATGGAGGTTGAATGACAATTGCACCTGTATTTTTTCAGGCAAGGATGTTTTTATCTTGCTTTCACCATCACTTTCTAAAAGAAATGCCATTTAACCTCAATCTCAGAATAAAGGACAGGTCTTCAAATTTAATACCTTTAGCATTATGAAAAACTCACCACATATCTGTAGTCTTTTCCTGTTTTGCTGGAGACCAATTTAGAGAATAGTCATGGACCATAGATTGAGAAATCTGTGGTCCATGAAATGGATAGATTTCATGGATTTTTTTTTTTAACTCATTGTCTATGTGATTCTAGAGGCTCACTACCCATGGTCACTGTTTAGCAAATCTGTGGTTACAGTCTGAATGCCAGCTAAGAGAAAAACAGTCCAGCTTTCAACCACTGTTAGTTCTAGGTCATATCTATTTCCCCCATGCCAGACATGTGAATCCTGTGAGGGCAGTAATTTTTTCCGAATGCTTGGCACCTGTGGCAGAGCTTGGTCATCCAAGGTGTTCCCTCCATCCAAAATGGATTTCCAAAATGGAGTGATCAATTCCCTAAGGGAATCTTATGACTCAAAAGGCTTTACTTTCCTTTTCTGATCACACTATGCAGGATCCAGACAAATAATTATTCAGTGTAGATCTGATTAACAGAAGAAAATCTGAATAGGAAACAAGCATGAAAGGCCAGAAATTGGATCTCCCCATCTGAAGGAAAGCAGAGCAAAATTGAGTTGAGCAAGAGTCAGCCTTCTTTGTTGTCCTGGGCTATGCTGTTGCATGAGTGTGCAAGTAAGGTGCTAGGGTAATTCTGAATGCTTTCTGACCTGCCCTGCTTCTGGATTTTAGTGCCCAAGGTCATTGTTTGGAACTGGGGTAGAGTGGAGTGATGGAAATAAATGCAAGATATTAACAACAAAAGAATATTTCTCATATAGTTACTTGCAGCCACCCCTATCTGGACAACTTCCTAAATGTGACCTTTACTCGGGCTGGCCCCCTCCACACACAAACATTCTTTCCAGCCCTGTGGGAACAGTATGTTGTATGCCATATGTCTACTTTCCTAGGTGGTTAAATTTTGCCAAGTGTAGCTGTGCTGTCAGGGAAACACAACTACCGTCTAAAAACTGCTTTTGAGATGTAATAGTTCTCTTTGGAGAGAGAACAACAACCTTGACAGATGGGATCCCCTTCTATAATGTTCTTTAGTAGTAAAGGGAATGAATGAAGAGCCAGGGTGGAGAAGCGGAGGCTCTTTTTTGCTCTTTGCATTCTTCCACCCCTTATGGGATGTGGGTGTGTGCATGTGTGTGTTTTAACTAACTGGGGTTTTAAGTACAGAAAAATCAATAGCAGTTACTTCTGCATATCAGCCCAATAGAACTGGGAAACATGGTACATGTGTGTAAAACCCACATGTTCAGTCTTCTGGTGTGGAAGACCCACCCCTTCAGTTGTGACTTGCAGCTTTATGGCTTGCTAGTCAGTGGGCAAATTTTGTAGCTTGTCTGAGTTTCAGGTTCTGTAAAACACAGCAAGCACCAACTACTTAACATGTGGATTAAGAGAGAAAATGTGAGTACCAAACTAACTTAAAGCCAAGGGCTTTTGAGAATATTCTCACCCTACCCTATTCTCAGCTCTGACTATTTGGGGGATTTTTTTTTTTAATCTGTCAAATGAGTGGTTATATTAGATGTTCTCTGGTTCTTCCTTATTCTCTGCTCCATGGTGCAAGCAGCATAGGAGAGAGAGATATTAAGATCTGCCTAGAGCCAGATAGTTGCGGGAAATAATTGTTTCTGTTACGCTTCAGGCATTTACAAAACATTCCAGTATTTGTGATTTTGTTACAGAACAACAGCCCCCCCCCCCCACCACCAAGGATGGTATACTGATACTGTCCTGACCACCTACTGGGCTTGTCTGTCTGCTGCCAGAGGAAAGACATCTCTCAATGCCAGAGATTTGTGAAAAGGAAAGGAAAGGTTTATTTAGAGCTATACAGACTTAAGTAGTGACCTAATGTCTTCATTAAAATATCAAAGTCCTTTAAGATAACCACTGACGCCCACAGTGCTTCCTTCTCCCCCTGCCCTAATTTGGGGTACCGTATCTCAGGAAAAGAAGCACATGTCCATGTTTCAGGCCCCTGGCACTGTCAGTTGTGTCACCATCCAGGCAGGATCTCCAATTAATCCAGAGCCATGTGGCACCTTCTCATAGTCCACTGGCAAGAGTTCTTTGTACCCATTTATCCAGGCAAAGTCTCTCCTTTCCTCCACCAGAGCTGCGGAGAGGGTAGGGTCAGCACTCTGACAAAGCCAAGTGGCGATTCTCTTTACCCCCAGCTGTGGGGGTCCCCACTCTGTCCAAAAGCACGTGGCTCTCTCTATGCACTGCCACAGCCGTGTGGTTCCCTCTCCTCATATGGCTGCAGGGGTCCCCACTGTGGCAAAGCCCCATGGTTCTCCCCTTCAGCTGGCTGTAGGGGTCCCTACTTTGGCAAAGCCGAGTGGTACTCCTTTAATGGCTGCCGTGTCTTGGTTTTTAATCCCCGTGCCAGTCCTCCTTTGCAGCCCAATTTCTGACTCCTCCTACAGTCGGCTACACTTGCCAGCATTTCTGTATTATTCCAAGTTTACTGGGCTGCCATTGTGAGTCTGGGCAGGTGGGGCCCCCTGGTGTGGAGCCAATCATCTTCAAGTTCTCACACAGGCACTGTAACTCAGGGAACCTACCCCCGAGTTACGTCTTGGGTGGAAGTCATGTCTTGGGTGGAAGTCAATTCCATCCCCCTGGCTCGGAGCATGGCCACAGCCATTTAGCATATCTGTGCAGCCAGTTAAAGGTTATAGATATGGTAAATGACCATGCCAGAGTTTAGCTGGGAAACTGTTGCTATGCAAAGCAGCTCTCAATGGTCCTGCTCCATTTGTCCCTTCCCCCAAATTACACCTGTGTGGGGTGGGTAAGTCCATCATCAGCCCTTCTTCCTTGTTCACTCACTGATTGACATTTTGGTAGGTGTGAGTTGATATCTCATTGTGGCTTTAATTTGCAACTCTGAAGGCTGGCGATGTTGGGCATTTTATATGTGAGATGAGGACATCTTATATGTCTTTCTAATATTCCCTGGATACCTTGAGTTCTGGAACCCATTCCAAATCCCTTTTTTGGGGGTCCCCCTCTTGGCTGCACCCTGTTACAATTTCATTTGCTCCCACAGCAGCTCTGTGAGGTGAAAGGAACTGATACTCTCACCTCCACTTTATACAGAGAGGGGCACTGAGTCCTGAGGATCTAAGGTGAGGCTTTAAAGCTTTTGCACATCTATTCAGCTCTAGGTCCCACTGGATCATAGCATCTCAGATGTCCAATTGGTGGCTTTACCTGTAGAACAACACATGTTGACAGTTTCTTATCACTTGGTCCATTCAAATATGGTGATTTGTTTAGCAAGTTGTGCCATTTTTTAGTTGGCCTTCACCATGGTGGTATTTCATCTGTACTCACAGTCCTAACTTTCCTCCCCAGTGGCTGGTGAAGCGAGCTATAGAAACAAAAGAAGAAATGGGTGACTACATTCGCTCCTACTCTATATCCCAGTTCCAAAAGGCCTACAGTCTCCCGGAGGTGAGTTTTCTATTTTTCTCTTCTTGCCCAGCTGAAACCATGACTGCACACTTCGAGGCTCCCTAGGAAGGAACTCAGTAAGCTCAGGCTCTCCTACGTGCCCACCTCCCTGCCATCTGGGCTTCTACTGGGTCAGCACTGAAATGGGGCCTCCTGGGCTATTGGAGCTGCCTCTTTCTATTGTTACAGAACGAGAGGTCGGGAGGGGGGGCGATATTTGGCCCACCTAGTGATGCCAAAAACTGCTACAGAACAGGGGTCCCGCCCAAGGACCGAATACTAATATCCGCTGGGCTCTTCTGTCCGCCGCCAGTTGGAAAAACATCTCTCAATGCCAGAGATTTGTGAAAAGGAAAGGAAAGATTTATTTAGAGCTTTACAGACTTAAAAGTAGTGACCCAATGTCCCCATTAAAGTATCAAAGTCCTTTAAGATAACCACCGATGCCCACAGCGCTTCCTTCCCCCCTGCCGTAATTTGGGGTACCGTAAATCAGGAAAAGAAGCACACGTCTGTGTTTGAGGCCGCTGGTATCGTCAGTTGTGTCAGACAGGATCTCTAGTTAATCCAGAGTACTGTGGTACCCTCTCATGGTCCCCTGGCAAGAGTTCTTTGTACCCAGTTCCAGTCAAAGTCTGTCCTGCTTTCCAGGCCACACGGCCAGAGGGTGCACCCCAAAGCCGCGTGGGCCTCTTCTACCAAAGCTGCAGGGCTTGTCACTCCACCAAAAGCATGTGACTTTCTTCTTCACCTGGCTGCGGATCTCCATTCTGGCAAAGCTGCACGGTTTTCCCTTTTACCTGGGAAAGAGGGGGTCCGCACTCTGCCAAAACCACGTGGCTCCCTCTTTCACCTCACCAAGAGGGGGTCCTCACTCTGCTGAAACTGTGTGGCTCTCTCCTACATGACTTCAGGGGTCCTCACTCTGCCCCAAACCGTGTGGTTCTCCCCTCACCTGGGCAGTTATCACCTCATGTCCTGGAGCCAATCTTTTCCAGGCTCTCACGCAGACACTGTAACTCAGGGGCTCGGCCCCTGAGTTACATCCTGGGTCCAAGCCACTCCCTTCTCCCTGCTCCAAACTTGGCCACAGCTATTTAACATATCTATGAAACCAGTTAAAGGTTATAGGTATGTTAAATAGTCATTCCAGAGGTTAGTTGCAGAATTGTTGCTATGCAAAACAGCTCTCAATGGCCCTGCTACATTTGTCCCTTCCCCCTGGGGGGTGAGAACATCTTATATGTCTCTCCAGTATTCCTATACACTTTGAATTCTGGACACCATTCCAAATCTTTTTTTGGGGGGACCCCCCCCTTGGCTGCATCCTGTATCACTATGAGCACTGAGTGTAAAGCCCTACAATTTTGTCCTTTTGTCTCAGTGTTGGTCGTTGGTCCAGGACTTTTTTTAAATTAAAACAATGTGAGTATATTTTTGTAGAGTTACATAAAGCTTTTCCAGAGACCATTTGCCTAGGACATTCCTGTATTAACAGTTTAATAATAATCCCAACAACAATAGGTGATAGCTATCAAATACTTAACTTGTTCCAGTCCCAATTTATCACATGCCTTCTACTCCTTAATCCTCTCAACTGCTTCCTGAGATAGGTAGTGTCCCAAAACTGAGGCTTAGAGGTTAGGTAACTTGCCTGAGGTTTTAGAGCTCATAAGGATTTGAAATGAAAATATTTGTCTTTATCACTACACTCTATGGTTCCCCTTTTTCTTACCCACTGTAGGGGTCTGTTTAGGAGCCATCTGCAGAGGCCCTAGCTTTTCCCATACAAAATATATTTTAATTTATTAGAAAATTGAGATGACTTCTGGCAAAGTTATGATGTGAAGTCAGTCTATAAGACAGATTTCTGAGCAGTCCAGTTCAGTTTCAGTCTTCATACAAGTTTTGTTTAATGCCTGTGTTTTGTCTTACAGGATGATGACTTTATAAAGAGAAAAGAAAAGGCCATCAAGACAGTTGTTGACCTTTCAGTAAGTTTCCCTGTCCCTATTCTTCTGAAAAAAGAACAAAGGCTCACAGCCTCCAAATAGCACTGATTTAAATCACAAAACCCTGCTCTCTCAGGTTTCTCTCTGCTGGGATTGCCCAGGAGCTGACCTCTGGTGAGTGTGAGGGAAGCCCTGCCTGTCTTCTGTGCCCCATATTTGAACACCACCATTCATGAGTCAAACTTGACACAACTAGTGCCCTATGTTTTCCTTAGTTCCAGTTTTAAGGGAGAAGTTTTCCAAACCTGAAGCCCTTCCTCTTTTGTGCCAGCCAGTTACAGGTATAACTTTGAACAGCTCCCAAAAAAGCAGATAAGCAGATGATGAACTGGAGGTGGTAAATTTGGGTCATCACCCCCTTGGTGGCTTTGGAGAGGCAGAACAGAATCTGAGCTTTGCATAAGAAACTCTGGAATGGCCTTTGTCATCATATACAGTGTATTTTAACAATGGGGGACTGCACGCATGTGCCCATTTCCCCAGCACAAGGGGCAGAGGAAAGCTTTGGGCTTTTTCAAAACACTCTGGGCCAGAGCCCAGCAGAGCCCTTGTCAGCCCACCCCCACCTCACTTTCCAACCTTCCTGCCTGAGCTGAAGGGAAGGAAGCCTCAATGCCTGGGTGTAAATTCTCTTCCAAAAATAATGTATAGTGCTATTTTGCATGATTTTTACTTTAAGAATAAGTATGTGGTCTCCCAGGGTGATTACTCTGAAATAACAGTCACTTGATGATGAAAGACGTGCAGTGCTTGTTTAAAACAATAACAAAAAAGTCTTTCTCACTTTATAATTGTAATTTGTATCTTTTCCCTGGTTCCATTTTGGAAGTTGGAAGAGTAGAAAATTTTTAAGATAGTTACACTCTGAAGTCAGACTCTGTTTTCAGATTCGGTGGCTGTATTAAAAATAAGAAGAAAAAGAGTGCCCTGACTGGTGTGGCTTGGATAGGCATCATCCCACAAAAGTGAAAGGTCACTGGTTGATTCCTGGTCAGGGCACATGCCTGGGTTACAAGCCCAATCTCCAGATTGGACATGTGCGAGAGGCAACTGATGGATGTTTCTCTCACACATTGATGTTTTTCTTCCCCTCCTTCTGCCCTGCGCTGTCCCCTCTGTCTAAAAATACAGGCATACCTTAGTACTTGTTGGCTTCAGAACTTGTCAAACCCTGTACTTGAGGCATTTTGATAAGAAAAAAATGTTTCAGCACTTGGCACGTACTCCAGACTCCTTGCACTTGCTAGAACTTGTATGAGTCACGATACTGCTCTGCAAGAGAAAATGCTTCATCATTTGGTACTCGTTGGTTTGACACTCATCACAAGTTCTGAAACAAATTAACGAAGAGTACTGAGGTATCACTCTAAATAAAATCTTTAAAAAAATAAAGAGAGCACATGATATGACAGCAGAGTAATTTTTTTCCTGGTCATGATATAGATGTATAGTTTAGAACTTCTTTAAAGTTATTGTTTTAAAGTTGGTAGATACAGGGGAAGAAAGTCAACCTTAATCTCAGAACACAGAAGCATCCACTTTTGATGTTTGTACATATATCTTTTATGCTTTTATTGTGTGTTTTTATGCTGAATTGGAATTATACTTTAAATATACTTTTGTAGAGTATTTTTTTCACCTACCAATACAGTCTTTAAGCTATTAAAGAGTCTTCCAAAAGCATTTGTCATGACAAATAATAACCAATTGGTTGGATGTACTGTTGCCTTCCCTTATTTTAAATGATGCTTCATCTTTGGAAAGATAGGAGAACCAAGCATTGCCTCCGATACAAGGAGCTGAGGAGGTGGGGGCAGTAGAAGGAGGGAAAATTCTCTTTGAATTTTGTACTAAGTTTGTGTATTACTTATTCAAACACAATAAATAAAAGTAAAGTTTTTATAATGCTTTATTGAATATCTTCACATGTAAATCTCACTATGATCCCTGGGTAGAAAGTGAGGAAACATTATGGTTTTTAGCCATATTTCCCAGAATAAAAGGCCATTGTAGTTGTCAATAATCTTATCAGTGAAAGAGGGCCTGACGTCTCTATACCAATTAAGTATTTGTGGCCTCCAGTGAAATTATTTCTTCTTTTCATTTGTAATACAGTTTTTTTAAACCTCCTCTTCTTGATAATGTTACTGTATAGAATTTAAGGACATAATGATAATAACAAATACATAGTACCCAGATATTGTTCTAAGTATTAATGTGTAACTCATAGCAACCCTATGAAATAGTAGTATTTTTTTGACAGGTGAGGAAAGTGAAGCGCAGATAGGTTATATAAGTTGCCCAAGGTCGCATTGATGATGATGGTGCCAGAATGCAAACCAGTATGCTGTGAGTCTCTAGTTAAAAAGATGTTTGCGACTGATCAGAAAATAATATCAAGATAAAGGAAAATGAAAAAAAATGTATAATAGTTTGTATTGCTTAGTTTATTTCCTTTTTTATGTGTAAACTTACTTGTCAGTTGACTGTCAGTACATTTTTGGCAGGAGTGGTTAAGAATTTCTGTAGGTGGCAAGAACCAGGCTGTGGGTTTTCTTTTCTTTTCTCCCTGTCTGCTGGAAGTAGCTCCCCCTTCCAGATTCTCAGATTTCTTAGCTGTGTTCCATTGCCATTTACTTCCATCGCTCTCACCTACCACCTCTGTGATGGCTTCCTTGCAGCCTTGGAATGAGTCGCAGGAACTCACAAGAGACTCTAGGACTGCAGTACATGTCCCTGGCTTATTCTTGTGAGTCAGTATAAGAAATGGAACAGGTTGCTGTTTTTTGTTGTTGTTGTCACTATTCCCAAGGAGAATCCTTCCCTCAGTAAAGGGGTTGTCACCCCTTTACTAGATGACCAGGGTTGTGGCTCTTGGGAAGTTTCAGGTTCTAAAGAGGATTTTTTCTTTTTCATTCTTTCCTCAGTTCTCTTTTCAGGTGCTTCCTCAGTATTTTTTACCTGTTCCTTATTGACAAGCCTGAAGGTCAAAATTTAAATTGTGAATGCTAAATTAAGGATTAAAATCAAGTCTAACATACAGGTCCCTACTTTCAGACCCTATAAATTGTGTGCAGCAGCCATGTATTGTTTGAGTGCCTTCTCTGTGGTCGGCTCCTAACTAGGCATCATCTTATTAACTCCTCAGCAACACTCAGGGAGTGACGCATTATTATTTGTATTTCATAAATTAGGAAGTTGAAGCTCAGAAAGGCTAATAATTCCCTACATAGTTGTAGAGCTATGAAGAAGCAGCCAGATTTTGATTTTACACCTGACTCCTCCAATGAACAAGTGTTGGTACTTCCACTTTTCTCTGTCTTTATCTGCTCTCTGATTTCCCGTATATCCTGGTGCCGATTTTGCAGTACTGTTCTTGACTCAAGGACTCTGGGCTGTTATTCATCTGGCTCCTAGACCCTCAGAAACATCAAATTGGTTGCGTGCTCCCCTATGACCTTAGAAGTCACTTACGGGGGCATTTACTGTGGCTGTTCCCATTTAAAGACCCTTCGTTTGTCCAGCTGGAGAATGTTTGCCAAAGTGGTGGTTGTCCTATTATTTTCTTTTTTCATGAATTAATATGTACCATTGTGCTTCAAGCAGAAGGATTTTACTTATTTTTGCTTAGAAATAAACCTTTAAAAAATAATAAATTATAAGCATTTTAATATTTTTTAAAACATATAACTTATTCTTGTTTTTAGCCAACCTTATAGGATTGTTTCAGTCTTTTACATTTGTCCTTGGTTATATAGCCCATCCATTTTTTTGGTGCATGATTTTTTGTTCTTAAAAAGCTTATTTTTTCCTTTATGCTGATACTAAGAATAACAATGAAAAATTGGGAAATGGAGAAACGATGTGGACCCTGGCTCGTGGGGTCTGGAACACTGTGGATGAGATACTAGACAAATTCACATGGACTGCCAAGTCCTGTGGAGGAAAAGGGATGGCATGGCCACTCTTTTAAGAGGAGAGCACCCCGACCTTTGCCTTGACAGACTTCTATTGCTTTTCTGTGCACCTTACATGATGGTCCTCATTTAGCATGCGCAGGTTCGCTTTAGGTGGTTACCTTTTACAGAAAACAAAGAAAGTGATGCTGCTAATCCCATCACAGAAGAAGGATATTTGCAAATGCAAAGGGAAAAGTGGTTGAACTGGTTACATTCCATACCAGGGAAGGTTTAGCACAGACTTGAAGAAGTTACACTAGGCACTTTCTGCCTCAATTCAGGGTGAGGGAGTTTTAGGGAAAGCAAGTCTTAAAGTGGCCTAGGTACAATGCAGGCCTGATTCCCCATGGGAGAACCTATCCGTGGGCGTGGGTCCTGTCTGGGCCCACACCATGCAGAATGGCCTCCTGTAGAGAAAAAGTGCAAAGACAAATCAGCCATGATACCACCAGCCAGGGATAATCACTGATATTCCAATTAGGAAATACAGAGTTATGAATATCCATATAGAATTAGGAAGTAGAAAAACAGATGACACTGTACTGTATATTCTGTTTTGATGCAAGCTTGTTTTGCTCAACAATATAAGCTAGGCTATTTTTCCATGCCAGTAAATATCTCTCCCTAGCATTCTTAATGTCTATAGATGACTCATTGTGTTATACTAATGTAACTAGCTTAGTTATGAGGTGGGCCGTTATGTAGTACATCCTCAGAGCTAAATTTTTTCTTTTATCTTTAATTATTTTCATAGGATCACTGTCCTGGTCACTCACTGCCAGCCTGTTCTCAATTTCAGTGTCTTTGGTTATATTTTGCTTGTTTGTTTGTTTGTTTTGTTGATTAGGTTCCTGTTAAAGGTGAGATCATATGGTATCTGTGTTTCATCGCCTGGCTTATTTCTTTTGGCCTCATTTTTCTTTCTCTTGGGGATTATTCCCAGTACTTCTTTTCTTTTTTGAAATGTGTACCTTTCTTGACTTCTCCATATTACCTTATCATACAGTATCTAGCTGCTTAGTG